GAGAGAGAGAGAGGAAGAGCGAAAAAAAAGGAAAGAGAGAAAATATGAAAATAACGACGATAATACGAGGAGAGGCAGGATACGTTTGTTAGCTTTGCTGTTCGTCCGGAAAACGCTGTAGGATTCCGGGGTTCGGCCAAGGGGGTGACAGAGCGGCCATTGTTATTTCCGCTTACGCGATGCTCTTTGATCAGGTTCGTTGATGCTTTCTTTTTTTTTTTTTCTTTTTCTTTTCTTTTTTTTTTCTTCCTCTCCTCTTATTCAGTTGTTCCTTTTTACTGCGACTTGTTTGTAGCTTGTTAAGAACGATACGACTCGAAACTTTTTGACTCGTTGTTTTTGTGTGACAATTTGATGATGTATTTTTTTAATGGTGAATGGTTGATTTGGGAGCAGGTTTTTTTTTTGGAATAAGGAATGTGAGTTATTAATCCATTAACCTTCAGGCAATTGACTGTCTGAATCAATAAAGAATAATTAATTCTTTTTTTTTTTTTTTTTTTAGTTATTCTGTTTTAATGTTTCAATTTTATTATAACAATCTATCCACTTCATAATTAATATATAATATTCTGATAGAGATATTATTTCTATAGAAAATAATAATAACTCATTTACGTATCATAATGGATAAGAAGTAAGAAATTTAAATATTTAAATTTCTTTTTATGATCCGCAAATCGAAATCAAGTCATCTAATTAGCACGATTCACATTATATAATTTATCGATATTCATTGGAATTTTGATTTAATTCTTGTTCCAAGATATGGATTTCGATTGTTAAGGGAATCGGCTACCGGATTTCGATTGGCGAACTCCACATTTTACGAGGTTATTAAGTTTTCGAGAATAAGCTAAGCTAGTTTCTTTGGTCTCGGCTAATTAGTTTACTGGTAGCCAATAAATCGGATCGAGTTATTAATTAGCGATCTGACATTGAGATTGCCTCGTCGAAATAAAGTAATCTCGTTTAAGAGGCAATTATCATGTAGAATATGAAAGAGAGGGAGGTGGGGGGAGGGAGGGGGAAGGGGAAGAGATTGATCTTTAGATCTTCGAAAATGGCTTTTATTTAACGATTTCGACGATTTTAATGGATTTCGATTCCAATTTTGAAATATAATGTTAAATGTTACATGTGGATAGCATCTTCAATATTTTCGAATTAATTTGTAACCGTTCCTTCCAATTTGATGTATGCGATTAGGCGATGGGTCACGAAGGAAATCGTGTATGACGATTGCGAGTAGGAAAATTGATATTTTGCCAGTGTGATTAAACGCTGCCTATAAATAGAATCGTATTTTCGTTAGTCGAACCGCGATGTTGGGAAATAAGTGGAGATTAACGTGATTTAATATTACAAATCAGGGCAACATTTTATTCTAAATTACCCTTCAATTCGTGTACACGATATCTTAATTCCAAATAAACTTTCAACAAGACAACGACTTTCTCTTTGCAACAATTTTATGCAAGATTATTAAAAAAAAATGATTAATCGCGTATGCCGCAACCGGAACTAGATTTTCGGTCTCTGCTGAAAATTCTCACGATGCTGGGAAGAGAAGGAGAGACAGAACGAGATGAGAATAACCGAATAAAAAGAAAATCTCGTTCCCAAGAGTGAGTGCGGTGATTTTGCATAAAAAGGAAGAGAGGAGAATTCCCGAAGTGAATCGTTCAAGGAACGTTGATCCACGCTCTAATATAAGTAGAAGGTATTTGTGCTATCGCGTTGCTTTTGGCTCCGTGGTGTGTACTCGTTACGTACACGTGTGTGCAACCGTGTAACTATGCACAAGAAGCGAGCGCACGTTATCGCTCACGTGCCCCGAGAGATGTCTGTTATGAATGCTCGTCCGCGACGATGCGGATGAGCATTATTATTATTATCATCATCGCGTAAGGCATCATGCAGCAGGTGAGGCGAGGAGGCGTGGCGCCGGATGTGTATATATCATAGAAACGTATGCATTTCCGGTGGACAGATCTAGATCGATCGGCCGCTCGGTTTTTCGGTTTCCTTTCTCTCTCTTTCTTTTTCTCTCGCACGGCCGAAATTACGACCACGCGATTTTCTTTTTTCTTTTTTTTTTTTTTTTGGCGACCATGCCGGTGTTAAAATCGTAAAAATTTTTTCCCCTATTAACGTTTTTGACACGAGGAATTGCTGCAGTGTCTATTTTTTGATTGCCTTGTTTATAAGAGGTTGAAACTTGATAATCATAAAAGATAAATTTTCATGGAAGAAATATCTCGTTAAGAAAAGATAATAAAAATAAATGAAAATAATAATTCAGAAGAGCGGTGTAAAAAGTTTTATATATAAAGTTTGAAATTGGTTTTAATTTTTTTTTTTTTTTATTTAATTAGGCGAAAGACGTTAAGCGCCATAACCATAACTTAAGAGTTTAGTTCAGGTGTTAGCATAACAATCTATGAATTCCTTTGTTAAAGGAATTGGTAAAGGAGATCGTTTAAAATAAGCGGATTGGATTGAATTATTAAAACGATGAATTATAAAAAAAGGGAATTGTTGCAATTTGTTGCAATATTTGTGTAAAAATGTGCAAAAATTATAAATAAAAAATATCAATTTTTCAGTTAATTCAAGTTCTTCGTATTGCGAATGCATCGAGGTGAAGACGTCAAATCGTGCACGAGAAAGAATTGTTATTTTTATGGGTTATTGTTATAGCTTAATATGATTCGTATCACGGATAACGACAACAATTTCAATACAAACAAATATATATCGAAGAATATATGTACGAGTAAATATTACAAAAAGCGATGATCGATAGAGAGATTCAAACGAAATCCCCGTCTCGATATCAATTTTAATTAACAAATAATCGCGGAGGACAAGGAATAATTAATCAGACCAGATGGGTGTGCGGACACGTGTTAAACGGTCGTTCCGAAAGGACAGTTAAAGTCAAGGATGGTCAATTTTCGCCAACGGACGATTTTATCAACCCCTCGCGAGCTGCAAATTAATGACGAACTACCTGATCTTGCCCCTGGAGAATTCTCGGTGCTGCATCGACGTTTTATCATCCTTCGCCGATCGATCCATCGTGTCACGCATAAATTATCCGTGCTATTAATTAATTTGCAGGTACGCCGCTTCGCAGGGCACGTATCGTAATATGTGTTATAATATAATCAATAGGATGGCGTGGAACAAAAGGATAATTCATTAACCGTTATCGACGGTTAATCGAATCGAAAGAGAGCCGAATACATTCGTTCCACGGCGAGAAGAATCAAAGGCGCGGTTGGTTAATCGATCACGGTGAGTAATTTTTTCATCTCGCTGCGATAAACACGGGTGCAATTAAAATCATTATGAAAATCGTTCGGACTTTGTGCAATTTGATCGATGGAATATATCGATTCATTCATCGGAACGAAATAAAATGCGAACCGGTGAATTTTTCCAGAGTTGTATAATGTAACTTTGGTCGTCGATAACTCTGACCAATAATAATTAAAATCTTTATCTCTGCTCGAAATAATTAATATAACGGCTGCGTCTTTCACTCCACTTCGTTCGAAATTGAGAGGTCAATCATTAATCTCTCGAAACAAATATTTGAACAATTCCCCGAACGAAAATTCTGTGCAAATTGAGTCAAAGCAAATGGGAGAAAGGATGCGCATAAACACGATAGTTGATCGTTATTGTTAGAATCGTTCGAAAACCGTCTTCCAATATCGATACATTGAGCTAAAAAGGCAATTAGAAACGCGAAAGGGCAAAATAGAAACTAATCTTTTTACGCGAAGGATAGCTCCTTTGACCACGCGATCCTAACCGCATTTCGCCACATCGCATCGATCCCCCATGAGATAAGCAGTAGTTTGCCCAGCCACTGAGACGATCGACGTTAATCGAAGTCGGGTAGCCGCGCGTTTACAGCTAAGCGACATGCAACTAGTGTCCGTTGCGGCCGCAACCCCGAAACGACGCAAAATAAGAGAAAGGGAAGGAGAAGGAAAAATATTTCTCTATCTTTCTGTCTTAAACTTTCAAAATCTTTACTATTGTTTCAAATAATCGAGAAGAGGAGAAACCTACCCGAAGAATATCTTCGAATAGATACAGTCTACGATGAATAAAACGTTTGCAGAATAATCCGATGGCAGAAATAGAGTGAGCAAGAAAAATGGTGTATCGCGCAAAGAGGTGAGCAAAGTCGGACGTGCTGTCTCGTAAATTTCGCATGCACCCGTGTCGTTGGATGCGGTAAGCCGTGTAATGCTCGGTGCTGGCCACGTATCGCGCGCATAAAAATGAGTGAACTCGGTGCATTAAGCCGAGTAATGGGCGCCTTTGGGAGGAAACACCAGCATAGGCGCCGCAGCCTAGGTGTAATACGCCATGACAAAGTGGCGCGTCTGGCGACGAGAGGATATAGCTCGGCCTGCCTCGATATCCTTGACCATCGTGTCCGACCGCGTTCTCGACGGAGCGGCAGCAGCACGCGTTGTAAGAAAGCGTGTCGTCTGGTGTTGCTTGAACTTGGCGGAATAATTAATTCGATCGATTCGAGCCGCCAATTAAGCATGGGGTGTCAGCGCGCGCCGATAAGTAAACAGCCCTCTAACGGGCCGATATTACATAAATATAAATTTATATATACGTCATAGCCTCGGAGGATCGCGGAACGTGGTAATTTACACGCGTAACCCTCGTCGATTCGATCCACCTATGATTGGATTAATAAATATGGAAACAATATTCTCCTGTTGTGTAACACATCGCGTATACACGGCGAGTTCCGTAAATTGTGTATATAATTTGATCAAGCAACATCGAAGTGGTAACATAGGATACGCGTGTAACGATCGCCACAAATGCGATAAATCGAAAATCGCCTGAAGTTTCTTTTCTTACCAATAGCGAAGAGCGTTTCGCCGCGAGCGATGGAGGTCAAGAACCGTTGCTAGCTCACAATATTTCAACTTGTTGCGGTGTGTGGTATACTAGATTCGCGATACGCTAGAACGAACAACGCACACACACACACACACACACACACACACACACGAGTTCATCGTGTCTATCGTTTTCGAGCGTGTATCCTCCATAGCTACGATATACGCTATAACTACAACGTGATAATCTCGCGAATTTTCTAAGACTCTCGTCGATCGAGTCGACGATTACGTAGTTGGTTAATAAGGATGAGGTTGAGGTGCAACGATTTGATGGTGTGAACGGGTGCCGGCGTTATTTTCAGCGTGCTATTCATCCAGGGCGGAAGGCATTTCGTCGGATCGTCGCAATAACCGTGCATGGATACACGGCACGACAAAAAGCGCGCCACTTCTAAGCGCTACGAGATTCCCCCTTGTACGGTTAGAAACCTGTGCGCCCCACTATCGGCGCATACGATTGCGCATGCGCGGTTGCCGGCCGCGTTGGCGCCAACCGGCGCAGCGGGGTTCCACTTTGGTCATGGTTCGCGCAGTCAAAGGCACTTTTTCGCGATTGTTTGCGGAAGAACGACGCGGCTCGAAGCCAACCGGGGCCTTGTAGAAGTCTTTGCCGCGACCATGAAAGCGGCGTGTGATCGTTTTTACGTAGGATCCTTTCCGATGGAATACTCGCCGCGAAAAGCTGCTCGTGTGAATCGCATTTTGCCGCGCTTTTCGCGCGCGCGGAAGGGAGCAAGCACCGGTGCATCGGTTCAAGAGGCAGAGGCACGCGGATAGAGAGTGGGATTAATTGTTTTCTTTGTACCGCGAAGGAAGCATCATAGGCGCCACAGCTCCACATTTGGAACGAATTAATTAACAATAAGTCTGTTACCGTAAGTGGACTCGTCGGATTTAATTAGCGCTCGAGGGTTCTCTACTCGGTTTCAATACTGTTGACGGGAAAATCAAGATGGCGGAAGTGATTAAGTTTAATACGAAATCCTCGAGGGTCTTTAACAATATAGATGCGAACTTTCATACCTCGCAGGTTTGATCAAAAGAACTTTTCCCCGATGAAATTTCTTCCTTTACAAAATGGACGAGCTTTATCGCGTAAGCGTGTAAACGTTACGACTTTTTCTCGATAATGTGTCACAAGTGTCGAAGGATTCGAAATACGATTATCGTTTCGAAATTGAAAAGAGAGACACGCAATACATCGTGTGCATCATCGGCCGAGCACGCGCGCGAACGTTATCGAATTCACTGACGATTACCGGTTTTATCGACGATAAATAACCACGACACTATGTTGTAATCTCGTGAAATGTAAATGGTGGCCCGAGTGAAATAGTAATTATAAATTTTTCCCCGCGCTGCGAACGTTGGCGTTGGTCAACGTAGATGCCGCTTTCGCGTCATTATATATTACACGAGGCCATTTGCACTTCTCGGCCGGACCGTAATCCGCGAGGCACGGACATGGAAAACGCGATACGTATGCGAATGAGCCAATCCCGCCCCGTACATAAATTAGAATATAACTCCCGCGGCTGAACACGTCTAAGAAATTGCATTTTCTCTCCGCGAGAATATTGAAAGCATTATAAAAAATCTTTACGCGTGCACGCTCGATCGCACGGTTGCTCATGAATATTTATTCGCGGCAATAACTTTTCTGTCGGCGCTTTTCTATACCATCGCTATGAAATCGCGACGATTTGCTGACGATCCATGCTACGAAACGTTGGGTAGAAACGTTATGAAACGTGGTTAACAATGTTGTTTGTAGTAATGGAGGTGTGGATATGTTCGTGATTCGATATGTTGTCGAGTGTGTACATATTTCCAATGTATTTTTTGTTATCTAGTTTTATTTTATTTTTTTCTTTTTTTTTTTTGATCGATGTTTCCAATAGATCGCTATTTGTGGCAAACGTACTAGACGATATGTAAATGTAATGGTGATTTTATGGAATATGATGGTTATTAGGGACGATTTATAACGATCGTTAAATACCGCGCGCTTTAAAATTAAAATTAAAGAATTTATGATCGTCTGTAAAATTAAGAAAAAAAAAAAAAAAAAAAAAAAAAAAAAAATTGTAAAAATTCTTTTATTATAAAAGATTCGTGGAAAGTTGGAGGAATCCCTAATAAGGACATTTCGCAAGGAGAAATCGCTTTGGGAAATTTACTTTGAAATAAGAAGGAAGGAGAAAAGAAGAAGGGGGAGGTATAACAGGAAATAATAGGAAAAGTAATGAGAAGCGGGTTTTCCCCCCCTAGAGGTTAAATTAAACAAGATTCTTTCGTTCCTCTATCTTCGTTCGCCCATCTTGAATTTATTTGTCTCGCTCAGGAATCAAGACGCTTTACATTTCATGCCGCATAAATTGTATGTTAACTATAGGTGGAGGAAGGTCGATATTCACTGTGAAACAAGAGCAAGAAGTATTCTAAGAATGAAACAGCAAGAAGAAACGGTCCTTTATTAAGTACTCTTGCTTTTAAACGGCTTTCAAGCCCGAGTAAAAACTTCCCTTCCTTGTAATCTTATTAATCAAACACCTTTGCGTCCCGAAATTGGATATAATTCAATCACATTTTTACGAAATTCAATCATCGCGCGTTTAAATTAATTGCGTTTCCTCTACGAAAATCTTCGCTCGTCACGCTCTTCGCATAATCCACGGTGATTTTATCGATCGAACATCACTTTTTTTTAAAATTCGATCGCACGAAATTGGATTGAGACAGATCTCTCTGCTCCCCAACATCGGATTTGACAAAGTTCTTCGGAATTTAATTGATCGAATTAATCGAAATTCTTCGGTACAAATTTTCCCTCTTGACAAATTATCCTCGTTCTCACGGATATAATATTCACTGAGAACCGTTTGATGCCTAAGATTGATGCGACGTTTCTTACTTCTCCGTCCTCCCGCTCACTTTAAAATATAGTACCATTAAAAAGTGACTCCCTTGCTTCCTCCCCTCCCCTCCCCTCGCCTCGCGATCCTCCCCTTCGCGAGGCCAGACGGCGTGTGCACGAGCGTTCGAGCGGATAGTCGAAAAGTAAAAGGAAAAAAGTAAAAGATTGCGCTCGTTATTCAGCGTATCCCGGCGGAGGGCCGCCCCGTGTAGATGATTTCACGCCGTGACACGGCTGCTCGACGAAAGGTGCGTCAAGTGTTGCATTCGATGCAGCCGCGGCACTCTTTCGAGATCCCTCCCTCCTCGTGACGGTGCACGGTTCGAGAGGAAGTTCCTTAACCGCGAGTGTGCTGGGGTGTGCCCGCGCTCTCGTCGAAGAAAAGGGTGAAAATGTTTTCACGGAACGATGGAATCTCCCATCTCTCGTATCGCCTCGCGAGCATTATTTATCG